TCAACAATTTTCAAACTATTTAGCCATTTTGCGTAATTTAACCTCATAGTGTCAACATGGTTTGCCAGAAAAACCCAGTAGTACAAAAAATCTGCGAATTGTACGATGAGATTTCGAGGTTGGAGAACCTGAAGCCCTCCGAGGATGTCGACACGCTGTTCACACAGCTAGTCCACACGTGCATCCCACCAAACCCTATAGATGTCTCTAAGCTCTGTTCCAAGATCCAAGAAATGAGGTCCAACCTCATAAGGTTGTGTGGTGAAGCCGAGGGTCTTCTTGAATCCCATTACTCCACAATTCTTGCTTCTCTCCCGGACCCCCTAAAAAATCTCTCTCTTTTCCCTTACTTCAACAATTACCTCAAACTAAGCCTCCTCGAGTTTGATCTTCTCAGCAGGCATTACAGCGGCGGCGCGCCGCGTCGCCTCGCGTTTGTCGGGTCCGGCCCCTTGCCGCTCTCGTCGATAGTCCTGGCCACCTGCCACCTCACGGCCACGGATTTCCACAACTACGACATTGATCCCGCGGCGAACGCCATGGCGGCGCGGTTGGTGGGGTCGGATCCCGGCCTCTCCGGGCGCATGTTCTTCCACACCGCGGACATCATGGGCGTTACGTGCGACTTGAAGGAGTACGATGTGGTGTTCCTGGCGGCGCTGGTGGGTATGGATAAGGAGGAGAAGGAGCGAGCTATAGACCACTTGGCTAAATACATGGCTCCCGGGTCGCTCCTTGTGGTTCGGAGCGCCCACGGGGCACGGGCCTTTCTTTACCCTGTGGTGGAGCCTTGTGATCTCCGAGGATTCGAGGTTCTTACGGTGTACCATCCGACGGATGACGTTATTAACTCGGTGATCGTGGCGCGGAAGATGGCGCTGCCGCTGCCGGCCGCCGCCGTTCATTCGTATGATAATCGGGAGGGGTCGATGGTGCTCCCAAGCAAGTGTTCTTGTGCGGAGATTCACGCCTTCAATCCGCTCAACAAGTTGAGCATGATTGAAGAGTTTTCGCTTGATCAAGAATGACTAATAACTTTCTTGAATTGATCCAAGATCAGAAGGGGAGTGGGCCTAATCAATCTCCCTCTATTTCCATTGATTATTTGGTTAATCAATTATCAATTTGTTGTTGTTGTTGTTTTTGTTGTTAGTTTCCTCTGCATGTCTAACTGTTTTGCCTTATATGGTCTTAGTTTCATACAATACATTGTCTCCTACCCTATTTGTGTTCCTATCCTTTCTATATGTGTGTATGCTACTCTCAATCAATTTCAAGAATGGGAAATGGGGCATGGCCTACCTTTTGAAGTTTTCATTTGGATGCAAATTAAATTCTTGTTTTTGTTGATCTTCTTGACATCCACTTCATTTCTCAATCTATCCCAATTTTTTTTAAAAATCATTTTGCACCTCATGTTTAGTTTCTAATCTGTTTTCTCTGTTTAAATGGATGGTACTTTATGAACACGTTTCAGATAAAAGATAAGGGAAATGACTTTGTGTATGTGTAGCGTAGCGTAGCGCCTTGAAATTTAGTATCAATTTCATGATATTCACTTCATTCCCTAAATACTGTTTGCATTTTGCACATCACATCTAGTTTTTGTTCTTTATTCCTCTGTTTAAATGGAAAGTACTTTATGAAAACATTTTGATAACTATATATTAGTCAATTTGTTTTGGTTAAAAAAACCATGTTAGAAATGGAAATAAGTGTTCCGCGGAAGAAAGGAAAACAAGATCAAAGCAAATTAGGAATCAAACATTTTTACACCAACAAGCTAGAAAAATTGCAAAGTCATCATCAATCTATAAAAGAAGCAAGTAACGAAGAAGAAGACTCATGGCTTACATCTATAAAATACTAAGAGAAATGACTATGTAGCGCCTTAAAATTTAATATCAATTTATATTGTTTACATTTTGCACATAACATCTAGTTTTTGTTCTTTTTTCCTCTGTTTAAATGGACGGTACTTTATGAAAACATTTTGATAAATGTTAGAATTATTAGTCAATTTGTTTTGGTTAAAAAAAAAAAAAAACCATGTTAGTAAAAAGAAATGAGTGCCCCACGGAAAAATGGGAAACAAGATTAAAACAAATTAGAAATCAAACATTTAGACACCAACAAGAAAAATTGCAAAGTCATCGTCAATCTATAAAAGAAGCAAGGGAAGAAGAAGAAAAGACTCATTGTGATATCTTGTGTCGTCTAAGTCCGCTATAGTATACTAGTATAGGTATAGCCGTATAGGGTTTCAATTGATAGATAAGAAAATATTCAATTATGTAAAAGATCCAAACTCAATCTTGTACTTTAAATCGGGTTATAGTGGATTTGACTTGCACCTTAGGGTGTTTATCGGGTAGAATAGAACTTTCATTTGAAATGCATTAAAAATTGTCGAGTACTTTCGACCTTTCAAGGTGTTACAACTTGCGTTGTAATGCTGTGTTTCAATATTGATCAATATTAGTTCGTAATTGAGATCCAAAAATTCTCAATAAAGATTAAGAGAAATGGGTCTATTATGGCTTAAAAATTAGTCTCAATTTAATGAGATGCATTATTAATGAGCGCACATTTTGTATTTAATAAGTCGAGGCAAATGCCCTAAAGAGTTATATGTATTATGTTAAGTGTTTATGTGTATTATGTATTATGTTAGATTATGTGTATTATGTATTAAGTTAGATTATGTGTATTATGTTAGGACTTTATGTGTATTCTACTATACAATTATGTACATACTAAATAGGGGATTTTTAGGGCGCACAATGCACGATATAACAATTGATAAGTCTATCATTATTGTTGTTCCCAAAATGTTAAATCTTCAACCTGGCCCGACAGAGTATTTGGGAGAATGCAAATCATGGTAACTCTGTTGAACACAGATGTTAGACCTTTGTTTACGCCCACAAAGAGCCTTCCTCACTTTGAGAGGTTGCCCGGCCCCCAGCGACACTTTGAGAGGTCATTATTTTCAAACTTCACTCATGTGACCAACTGAGCTATCCATGCAGTTAATTAAGTCTTTCATTATTGCATATATTTACATCATTGCATTCATGATTCATGCCATTTCCTGATCAGCTGCATCTTTTAATTTATTAATTTCAAAAATTAAATAACTTTAATTTGAATTTAGAGAATCTTCGTGTGGTCGCCATTTCCCAAGATTAAATTACATAGAACAAAATATTATGTAAAAATAATGTTATATTTATTAATAGTTTTATGTTATGCAATAAATATTGTTTTAAATGTCTTGATTTAATTTGATTAATTCTAACAAAAGGTTGAACCCAACTCTAAGGGGCCCCACACTCCGACTCGACAGACCATTTGAGGGGATGTAAATCATGGTAACTCAACTAAATATGTTTATTTGATTAATTACTTTATGATAAGATACAATCAATATAAGCCACCTCATTCTTTATGAACGTAGTAATTCTCATTCCAAACTGTGACAAGGTAGAGAACTTGTACGTTATTTGGTGGTAATAACCCAATAACTAACATTTCAATTATTATTTGATATGTTTTCGTCTTATTAATTAATTCAATAATATTAAACCATTTAATTTGCAGAGAACTTATAAGTTATAATTCGATATTTATCACAAGTCAAGTGGTTTAACACATTATTTATGCAAACGTTTGTGGTAAATGAGCATTTTTATTTTTATTTTTTTTTTAAAATCTATCTCATAATTATTTTTACGAAGGATATGAGAAATTTATTGGAGAAAATATGAAAATATAATAAAATAATTTCATATATGTTGACCTGGCTTTACAATGTTTTTATTAATAACTTGCGTGTGATGTAGGGGTAACCCATAAAAAAAAAAAAAAATGAAGTCTTATTGACAAAATCTTTGTAATAATTATATCCAAGTATGCATAATAATTATATTAAAATCTTTAAAAATTGACAAATTAATATAAATATTTGTATTTTATAACAATTATAATTTTCAATTCAAGTATATAATATCATTTTTAAAAAGTATAATATATATATAAAAAAAACATTATGGTTAATAAGTTGACTAATTAAAACTAAAGAGCCAGCCTTTAATTTGCCCTTTTGGACCAGAATCTTAATCTAGTGCCTTAGACCAACCCAGCCATCTCAACTTACATTTTAAGGAGCTTATTTTGAAACACTGCTTGGGATAGCGTTTCAAAATAATGGTTCGTTTAAAAAGCAAGAAAATGACTTATGGAAAATGATTTTTGGAAAATTAATCATTTCCCAGCTGAAAATATTTTCCTTTCTAGTGTTTGGTTGCATTATGAAAAAGTGTCTTGGTGTGTTTGGTTCATTTCTTTTAAAATGAGTAGAATTGTATAATTAAACATTTTAATTATTTTATTTAGAATATAAAAATAATTATAATAATATTAAATATAATTTTATTTATTAAAAAAAATATCACTGGTTTCCACCGGAAACCTTGTTGTATGTTTGGCGGAAGTCATTTTCTGCCAAAATGACCTTATTTCCGTTGACTGAATTTTCCATGTACATCCAAACACCGCTTAATATTTTACGTTCACAATCTTTTACCAAATAGAACTTATTATAACTTATTTATATGTAGTTTAAAATAAGTTATAAGCTCTAAAGTAAGTTCTAACAAATAGAGTCAAATTAAATACAAATAAAACTTTAAAATTGAACTCTTTAGATAAAACATGTTACATATATAAAAGCACACTATAATATTATAGCCACTAATGATACATAAATCAAGAGAATTCAATTATTTTAAAATTAAACACTGTATATAATTGTTTATAATTATCACAAAATATAAAAGTTTGAATTTTATTTTACTAAGTTTAAAAGATTTGAATATAATTGTTATAAGGCAGAAATGATTGTTGTTTTTTTTTGTACGAATAAACCAAAATTAAACATTAATGTAAAACATGTATGCATTCAATATCACCGAATTGAAAACTATAAGTACCATATATTTTATTATGGTGCATATATAAACTATTGACATGATCCATGGGCAATTATTTGTGAAACAGCTTCGACTATGTAAAAGATAAGGAATTAATGACAAAAATGCACTGAAAGCTACCACTAGGCTAAGTTGATAATGTTAAATTATACCTCACCTTGTTATCAAGTATCATTTTTTATTTTAATTGATACACATCACAATCTAAAAATTTTATATCTTGCAATAATTATATCTAAATATTTTAAATTTGATAATTTAAAACAAAACATTTATAACACATGACAATTATATCATGACGGTAAACATGTTATTAACTGGAAATAAAATATAAATGTAAGACTAAATATACAAGGAATTAAGTGATTGTATTGCTAATAGTTCTGAGTACAAGATTCAAGCATCTGTCTCAAGTGATCGTTACAATTGATCACCTAAATTGCACTCTGACCCCGAACACTTATTCAATTATTCCGTCACATCTAATTCCCTCGTCGATCACATACATATGTGTATATTTTTAGGTGACGAGAGAATCCCGTAACTACTACCCGAGGGTGTGTATTGAGTAAATCACACTTTGTACATAATCTTAGCTGACAAATGACCGCAAGGAGGTAAATTAAACTATGTTAGGTTGCCAATAGCTGATTGTCTCAAACCAAGAAGATCAATAGACCACTCCCGTTAGGTGTCAAATTTGTAACTGTGTAGTTACTAAGTCAACAGTCTAACCAATTTTGTTGAGATTTTTTTTTTTTTTTTGGTGAAATTGATGCCCCTACAATGGAGCATTACCTAATCCTTATGTAAGGCGTATTACAAGCATCAGAATGAAGAAGCCTAGTCAGCTCCGTTGGGGCGTCCTCGAGGGTTGTCGTTTCCCAGTCTAACCAATTTTGTTGAGGTTGTTGCCCTACGTATGTATATTTAAATTTTAGATACCTTAACTTGATAATAGTTATCAATTAATGAATAATGTGTATTGAATACGATTCCTCATTTGAAAATTTAGTTTTCTTTTTTTTTTTTTTAATTTTTTTAAAAATTTTCTTAAATTAAATACTTACTTTTTCAAAAAGAGTTTAATTTGTATTTCATTTCTCTTATTTGGTGTGTATATGTATTATTGACTTATTATCAACAAAATATTCTCATTACATATTTTATTGCATAGATGTACGTTAAAATGGTAATTAGAATAGAAAAAGAAAATTATTAGAAAAGCTAATTTGCATTTGTTTAGAATGTAACCGTTTTGAAATACGATACCTACTAAATT